CCCTCTCCCCCCAGCACCAGGGCCTTGAACTCAATGCTGCCCGGCTTGGAAAGTGCCTTCTCCCCCCAGGACCCTCATCAGAGCCTCCCAGGCAGCCTCTGGGGGTCCCTGTGGAGCGCCTAGGGTCTGGGGCATGATGAGGCTGAACGACTGCCAACTGGGACGTGGGGCCATCTGGGATGTGGGGCAGGGGTTCTGCCCCCCAAGAGACCCCTGCCCAGGCCAGGCCAGTCAGGGCTCTGGCCCAGGGAAGGAGGGGAGATGCCAGCCAGGCCAGGAGGAACTGTCAGCACAGCCCCTCTGTCCACCCAGGTTTGAGACAGGCACTGGCCTCAGACCCGGGCCACACTGAGGTCTGCCCTTCTCCTGCTGGCCGCCGCCCGGGACACCATGAGCCAGTCTGGGGCTGTGAGCTGCTGCCCGGGTGCCACCAAGTGAGCCCCCCCGCCCATCCCGAATACCCCACCCTCACCCTCCGAGTAGTCCCCGGGGAGGGGTGCAGTTCGGCCCTGCCCTCACAGCCCCTCCCCTACAGCGGCAGCCTGGGCCGGTCCGACAGTGTGGCAAGGATGAGCCCCAAGGACCTGTTTGGTGAGTGAGGTTTGAGAACATGCTAGACGTCACAGGGGAGAAATGGGCACTGCGTCCAGGCCAGGGACAGCTGCCCCTGCCCCACAGCTGTGCCTGGCCTGGCCCAGGGGATCCCTGGGTGCCCAGGGAGGCCTCTGGACCCTCATCAACCTTCTGAAAGCTCCTGGCTGCTGGATCCCCTCCCCCACAGCTGTAAGGGGAGAGGCCTTTACTAATAATTCAGGGAGCATCAATATTGATTCCACTGCACTCCTTGCTGCAACCTGATCACAGGGGGGTTCAGGCAGGATGAGCCGCCAGCTGTCTGCTCCGGGAGGGGGGCCTGGCCAGCCCCCACTTTCCCCCACTCTGCCCTTCCCCAGACACGACCCCACCCTCTCCCTAGCTAGACGCCCCCTTCCCTTGTGACTTTGGACGAGGTGCCTCATCTGGAAAGCGAGAAGCCCTGGGAGGGCAGGGAGGGTGAGGCTGGCAGCTCTCAGAGTGGGAACAAGCATGGCTGCGACCCCCCTCCTGTCCCCTCACCCTCTGGGACAGGAAGCCCCCCGGCACAGGCTCCCCAGTCCCCACTCTGAGCAAGCCCGTCGCCTTCTCCGAGCTGCGCCCTTCTCCAAGGGGGCTTCCCTGGAGGGAGGGAGGGGGCTTCCTGCAGGTCCTGATTTCACACCCACATCCTTCCTGGTGGCCAAGAGGTCCACGGAGCAGCCCCCTCTCCGCTTGACTCCACCTTCCCTTGTGGGTCCAGTCCCAACTGGACGGAGGGCTGTGGGTCCCGCCCGTGGGGGTGAGTGACTGGTGTCTCCCCGTTCAGAGCAGAGGAAGAAGTATTCCAACTCCAACGTCATCATGCACGAGACCTCGCAGTACCACGTCCAGGTAAGGCCCCGCCCCCAGGTAAGGCCCTGCCCCCAGGGAGCACCCCCAGGACATGGCTGTCCTCATGCTCCCGTCTCCACAAAAAAAATTAGACGGGCATGGTGGTGCCCGCCTGTAGGCCCAGCTACTGGGGAGGCTGAGGCAAGGGGGTCACGAGCCCGGGAGGCGGAGGCTGTAGTGAGCCAAGAATCGCGCCACTGCACTCCAGCCTGGGCACCTGGGTGACAGAGCTAGACCCTGTCTCAAAACAAACGAAAGAAAGAGAGAAAGAGAGAGAGCTCCAGGGAGAGTGGTCAGCCCATGTTCCGACACCTGCAGGGGCTGGGGGAGGCCAGAGCCAGAACTGCCCACACTGTGCCGGGCCCAGCCATGGGGTGGGGGAAAGCGTCCCTCTGGTTCCAGTCCTGGGAACTGGCGGTCTGAGGGGTGAGGCGGCCCAGGGTGTGCTGGGAAACACTGTGGCTGCTGCACAGCCGTGGATGGCAAGAGCCCGTGGAGGAAATGATCATCCTGGCCCCAAAACAAGGAACTGGATCGGGAGGGAGCAGGCAGAACAAAGACGCCCTTGATGGAGGCTGCAGGGAGACCCAGGCTGCTTCTCAGGGCCCAGACTGGGCTGCCTGCGCCCGCAGGACCAGCAGCCCGCCCTGAGGGCTTTTCTGTTTTCCTAGGTCAGTTTCATTGACACAGAGAACTCAGGAAACATGTTTTTTTTGGTGTGTGTGTGTGTGTGTGTGTCTTCCTCTCTCTCTCTCTCTCTCATTTGTTTTGAGACAGAGTCTAGCTCTGTCACCCAGGTGCCCAGGCTGGAGTGCAGTGGCGCGATCTTGGCTCTCTACAGCCTCCACCTCCCGGGCTCGTGACCCCCTTGCCTCAGCCTTCCCAGTAGCTGGGCCTACAGGCGGGCACTACCATGTCTGTCTAGTTATTTTGTTTTTTGTGGAGACAGGATCCCTATGTTGCCCAGGCTGGTCTCAAACTCCTGGGCTCAAGCAATCCTCCCACCTCCTAGCCAGGCCTGGTAGCGTAAGCTTGTAGTCCAGCTGCTTGGGAAGCTGAGGCAGGAGGATCGCTTGAGCCCAGGAGTTCAAGCTAGGATCCCACTG